AGAATTGGAGCCCAGGTTTAGCAGCAAAGACTAGTTCGCCCACGGTTCTGATAACCTGAACCCACTGTTTCTTCCTCTAGTCTAGTTTTCAATTTTGGAGCCACGAGGAGGGATCCTTAAGTCCCTGAGCAGAGGGAAAGGCTGAACTCCGCAGCTGGAACACATCCTTCAGGCCGGAACTAGAGAGCGAGAGCATTGTTTCCCGTCGGAAGGGAAAAGTGATGCCCCTGCCCCCCACCCCCGCCGCTTCGCGACACCCGGAAGTTGCGTGTTCGCATCCCGGCGCCGGCCTCCCTGTCGGGGGTGAAGCCGCAGCGGACTGCCCTTCCCCAAGATGGCGTCGAAGATGGGTTCGCGACGGTGGATGCTGCAGCTGATCATGCAGCTGGGTTCGGTGTTGCTCACACGCTGCCCCTTCTGGGGCTGCTTCAGCCAGCTCATGCTGTACGCTGAGAGGGCCGAGGCTCGCCGGTGAGCGGGCCCACGCGGCCGCCAAGCGCGGTGGGGGGGCGGTACGGCCCGTCCCAAGAACGGGGGTGCGGTGAGGTGGGGAAGAAGTTGGGACCCTTGGGCTGGGGAAGAGTTAGGACCTTGGGCTTGTTAGGGGCTCTGGTCTGGGGCAAGGTGGGCATCGAGCGTAGTGCAGGGGTCCTGGCCGTGAGAAGGGCCTCCGGTTCAGGGGAGCAGTGGAGCTTGTGGGAACTCAAGGGATCTCAAGGGCCTTCTCCCGCTTCATTCTGTCCTCGTTGCTTCTTCCCCTATCCGGCTCGCAGGAAGCCCGACATCCCAGTGCCCTACTTGTACTTCGACTTGGGGGCGGCCGTGCTGTGCGCCAGCTTCATGTCTTTTGGAGTGAAGCGGCGCTGGTTCGCGCTGGGGGCCGCCCTTCAGCTGGCCATTAGCACCTACGCCGCCTACATCGGGGGCTACGTCCACTACGGGGACTGGCTGAAGGTGAGCACCTCGGCCCAAGGCGGGACTTCGCTAGGGGGATGGGGAGCCCGAGGCCAGTGCCCTGTGCGCCGCGGCAGTTGGGTAATGCGTGGTGCTAGCCAGGTGCATAGTGTGAAGCCTGGGAAGGCAGAACCCCCAGGCTTGTGGAAATTATTACAGACTGCAAGGATGAAAGGACCTTAGAGACCACACAAGACTGCCTTTCAGAGTGTGAAAACTGAGGTCCGAAGATGAGAAACAGACTTTCCCAAGGTCACACTACAGTTAGCATTGCAGGTGAGACCAGAACCCTTTAAACCATTAGTTTAGTAATGTCAGACTATAGGGCTAAAGGGACCTTGGAGAGTACCGGTTCCAACCATCTGATCTTATGAAATTTAATTAATTTAGTGCAGCATGTATACGTGAAAGTGCCAGAACCTGTGCCAGGTGCTGCAAGCTTGTAGATAATCCTGGACAAAGGCAGGGACTGTCAGTCCAGTCGGGGAGGCAGATGTGTGACCAGCTACCCGACCGTGGGATCGATGATTTTTTCATGGGACAGACTATACTATATAGCAGATAGAACACTGGGATTCGAGTCTGTACACTTGGAGGTGCAGAGGGGGCAACTCTTGGTGTCTGGGTTCTGCCACTTTCTGTAGGACCTTGGACATTTTTAGTAACCCCTCTGGGCCTCAGTTTCCACTTCTGATAAAAAGAGTTATCTATCTCTGCTGCACCTGCCCACTACACTTGGAAATTGTAAGAGGGTTCATCAGATGGAATGGGATGTATAGAGATGGGCACTTCTGTGCTCTGGACAGCCAGGAGAAATGTGGTGGCTGCAGTTCCTGACTGGGGTCCCCTCACCTCGGTCCAGGTCCGTATGTACTCGCGCACAGTTGCTATCATCGGCGGCTTTCTTGTGCTGGCCAGCGGCGCTGGGGAGCTGTACCGCCGGAAACCCCGCAGCCGCTCCCTCCAGTCCACCGGCCAGGTGTTCCTGGGCATCTACCTCATCTGCGTGGTAGGTTGGGGGGGCTGTTGGCTGGAAGTGCTTGCCTGGGAGTGAAGTAGAACCCAGGGAGGTGGGCAGAATAAGGCCTTGCATGTAGTTCCTGACGGTCTGCCTCCTGGGAACTGCCCCAGCCAGCTTTTGGGCCTCAGAGGCCCTTCAAGTGCCTGAGACCTGGCTGAGAGTCCCTTCTTCCAGCATTATTGCCACCAGGGAGAGAAGAGTTTGGATGGACCATTCAGTCCCGAGCCTGAGAGTCAGGAGAACAAGGTGGACTGGTCCTCTCATGGCTCCAGCCCCCAGAGGACTGAGAGAGGGGGCAAAGGAGAGGTTTGGTGGGGTTCAGGCCCCAGATGGGGCTCTATCGCTTAGAGTCAGTGGGGGTTGCCTAGGGTAGCAAGTTATGGTACTCCCTAGTGGAGGACCTAGGCCGAGCCAGTGTGGATGGGGACCTGGACAGGCTCCAGGTCACTTGGCTTCATCTTAGTTACTGGGCACCATATCCCATGTGCAGAGCTCTGTATTCAGAGGTGAGAGCCCTAGTCTGGCAGTGGAGACACACTTCCGCCCTCCTGAGCCCCGAAGGTGAGGAGAGCCAGGCCCTAACTCCATGAGCTCCCTAGTCTGGGGGCGGGGGGAGATGCAGGCCCTGCTCTCCAAGAGCCCCAACTCTGAGCCGCGAGTCAGAAGCCCACCTTGCAGAGGCAGACTTGCAGGTGCCATCTCAGGGGCAGCCATCCCCAGACAGGCTCCTCAGCCCGCTGGAGAGACTTAGAGGATGGTGTGTCTTTAGGCCTACTCACTGCAGCACAGCAAGGAGGACCGGCTGGCCTATCTGAACCATCTCCCGGGAGGGGAGCTCATGATCCAGCTGTTCTTCGTGCTGTATGGCGTCCTGGCCCTGGCCTTCCTGTCAGGCTACTACGTGACGCTGGCTGCCCAGATCCTGGCCATACTGCTGCCCCCAGTCATGCTGCTCATTGATGGCAATGTTGCCTACTGGCACAACACACGGCGCGTTGAGTTCTGGAACCAGATGAAGCTCCTTGGAGAGAGTGTGGGCATCTTCGGGGCCGCCGTCATCCTGGCCACTGATGGCTGAGTGGCACGGCAAGAGGCTGAGATGGGCGCAGGGAGCCACCGAGGGCCACCCTGCCTTCCTCCTTGCTGGCCCAGTTTCTTTATGCTTTCTGCTCTGTTGGTTTGGTTCTTTGCTGTGTGTATATGTGTTGGTAAGAGGCAGGTCTCTTCCCCGGTGCCTGGGCTCGGCCCTTGGGGGGGTGGGAGCCCTGATGATGTTGCCTTACAGGGGTTTTTCCTGTTTGTTTAGTAGGAGACCTGAGGCCAACTGCTCCCTGGGTCTCCTGTCTCAGAGAAGGGAGTAAGGCAGGGCTCGGGTGGGGGTACTGAGAGTGGGAGGCAGGGAAAGGAAGACCGCGAACTGGAAGTGAGCAAATGTGAAAAACTCCTTTTTGAACCTGGCAAGTGCAGCTAGGCTCTATAGTGCTTTTTGGAGACAGAGTGAGTATGTGTGTTGACGCGGGGATTGGGCCGGGAGGAGCCGAGAGACCGGGCACCGCAGAAGTCACGTGAGTTCTCAGGGTATCCCAGGGGCAGAAACAGCACTAGCTGTCGCCCCACCTTGAAAGCAGAGCAGGCCCCAGTCTGGGGTGTGCAGGGGTAGGGTAGGCAGTGGCCAACTTCCCGTCTCCTGCCTTCTGTTTCCAGCTCTATGGTTGGCCTGGTTGGGGTGGGTGCCCTCCCAAACACCAGACCACACAGTCCTCCAAAAATAAACATTTTATATAGACATTTGGCTTTGCTTCTATGTTCTCCCCACAGGGCATGTTGCCATTGGCTGGGATTGATCTTGGGTTTCTTGAAAGACCACATCTGGTTAAGCCCCACTTGGGTCCTCCCGTGATCTCTGCCCTGTTCTGAGTTCCCACAGGCCTTTGGCTGTCTAGTCAAGATCCTCCCTGTAGTCTGCTTTTGATCCGTCCCCTCAGTCCGTGTGTCATAGCTTGTCTTTTCCTCCCCTTTCATCCTCCTGGTTTCTTTTGAAGAAATCTTTGGTGAGGGCAGCTAGAGGGTGGGGGGGACTAACATTAAGTGTCCACTATGAGGATTCTACATCTTACAGATGAGGAAATGGAAGCTCAGAGAAGGCGAGCAGCTTACCTCAAGGCACAGAGCAAATGTAGCCACAGCTGGATTCCAGGTTGGGCCTATCTAATGCCCACACACAGCGGTGCACTCTGTCACCCCTCTCCTGAGGGAAGTCAGAGGCTGCTCCTGGGCTTTGGTTCTGTCGTGGCCCCGTTGTGCCACGATGGTCCTCTCCGTACTTGTCCATGCGCCTCCTGATTGAAAGTAGCCCAGCGACCAGTACGGGGGCCTGGCACGTTGTGGGGGGTCAAAAATGCAGAATGAAACCTCTGGCTTTGGACTCCTGCCGGCTGAGGTGTTCTGTTTCCACAAATGGAGACAGCCTCCAGCGGGACCGAGGGGAAAACATCCAAGTCTGGGCCTTGCTCGGAAAGAGAGCTGGAGCTGCCTTTGGTCTGGTCTGTGGGATGGAGGGGAGCCCCTCTGGAGGGCTGCTGACACCCAGGTGAGGGAGACAGTGACAGCATTCATCTTGGGGGCACTCCATCTCATTTAGCTCTTCTCTTCCCTCTGGAGGCCCCCTGGTTCTCCAGCCCTCAAGATCTTGCTCCCAGAAGGTCACTGCTCATTCCTTTCAAGTGTGAGCTGACTCTCAGACAAGTATGTGTGTTTTAATCAAGGCCTCCTGAAAATTTGTAAGACCCAAAGGAATTAAAATAAGTGCTGGAATATCAAGCAAATGGTGATATTTTGGGCAAGGGAGCCTCAAAACAGAGGCCACAGAAATTGGCCACCTTTAAGGTTATCCCTCAGTAGAGCCCTGGAAGGCAAGCCCCCCACCCTCACCTCCCATATCTCTAGACTGAAAATTGAAGGCCCCCGGTTATAGCTTTGGAGCCAGTGGTGAGGGTGGGGGAGGGCTGTCTGGGTCACACCCTTCTTCCTGTGCTTGTCCCCACTTGGGCGCCCCCCTCTGGGCAGAGTAGAGTGGGAGCTGCTTCCTCTGCACATCACTTAGCCCTCAAGCCTGGTCCAGCCTGTGGCTGCCTGGGATCACCTCCCGCAGGCATGGCTTTTGGTTCACCCTGGTTGTCCCAGGGCCTGCAGGGTGGGCGGTGAGGGTCAGCTGCCGGGGTCAGAAGCTGGTTTGCAGAAAGAGTCCGGCAGCCCCTTGGCATGGTTGACCAGCTCATAAGAGTCCCGGATATCAGCCAGGCCAAACCAGAAGAAGATCCACTGCTTGTTGGAGAAGCTGCCATCACTGTGTTTGAAGTACCTGGTGGGGGGAAGGGGGCAGCTTTTAGGGCAAGGCCGGTGCTCACTACTCACTGGTTATTTTGAGGACCTACTACATGCTAGACACCCTGATATTACTGGTTTCATCCTTACAGCAGCAGCCAGGTGTCTGGTGGTGGCTTGCTCTTTTCCCAGAGAAGCAGCTAAGGCTCAGAGAAGTTAGTTGACCTGCCAGAGTCCCAAAGCTAGGAAGGTTAGACTGAGGATGTCCTTTGCTCTCTGTGTCTCCAGGGGAGGGGTTCTTGTTCACCTCTTGGTCCCCACAGAGCTGGATGAGGGGATAGTTGCAGAAGGAAAGAGAAAGGAGAGAATGTTTCGCTGGAGATGCAGTGGGCCTGGGGTCAGCGCTTGGCAACTGGGCCTGGAATAGAGCCTGGAGGGTCAGGATTTTTGAGGACTCTGGGAGAGTTCAGGAGTGTCTTCAAGGAATCCACTGCCATGGGGCAGAGCATGTTTAAGTGTGCTCTGCTTCTGGGGAAATCTCAGACCCCGTGGGTGGTCTGCTCCCTGGGGAATGTGGGGCCGCACTGAGTGGGGCCTTTTTCTTGGGGGAAGCCGGGCCTTCCGGGGGTGTGGCTTTGGAGACCTGGGGCTGGGGTGGGAGCAGGACCTACCAGGGATTGATGGGGTTGGTGACCCGGGAGCGCCAGAAAAGCGTCTGCAGGTCCCGCCGCAGGCACTCCCACAGCATCTGGCCCGAGCCTTGGCCCTGGCGGCTGGAGCTCACCACAAACTTGTCTAGATATGGGGTGCCCCCCAGTACGGGCTCCGTGGTCAGAATGGCAGCCGCATTGTACCTGGCGCAGCAGGGGAGAGGCAGGCTGGGACCTCTCCTTGGCCCCAACCTGCCCAACTCTGTCCCTTGGTCCCTGCCTTCCGGGGCCCGCAGGCTCACCCCTCAGAGACGTAGACAGAGTGCAGCCGCGGGCGCAGCGAGGCCAAGTAGTCATCTCGCAGCTTCTTGCCGAAGCTGGCGTTGACCAGGTTCACCAGGCGGCCCTGGTCCAGGCTGTCCAGGCTGCGCACCCGCAGCATCCGATCGGCGTTCTTGAACAGGGTCCCGGACCCTGGGGGTGGCATGGAAGAGGAGGGGTTAGTTTAGCCCAAGAGCCAGGTCCCATCCACTCCTGCATTTGCCCTGCCTGGTGGGGGGTCCAGATACGACAGGGGCCGGGGGGGGGGGCAGTGACCCTCTTTGTAAGATCTCCAGAATGAAGTGATTTCTGTGGTCGGCATAGATATGTACATGATTTTCACACAGGGAGATGCTTTCTCCTGGCAGTTTGTCCCTCAGCTTCCGTCCATCGTCCGGAGTCCCACCTACTTCCCCTAGACCCGCCTCCCTCCCCCGAAACCGGGTCTCGCCTGGTCTCCGCCCCCCGCCCCCAGGCGCGGCCCTCACCCTTGTTGCTGAAGAGCTCGGTGAGCAGCGTGCTGGCGGCGGTGATGGCGGCGGAGGAGTGGTGCGGCAGGCGGCTGAGCACGTCCACGATGAGCCGCACCTGCTGCCGCGCCTTAGTGCTCACCCACTCGGCGTTAGTCACCAGGTCCAGATCGGCGGGCAGGTTCACCTTACTCAGGACCTGCGTCCAGGCGCAGGGGGTGAGCCTCTGGCCTGCAGCCGGCCACGAACTGCACCCCTGCCCCACGGACCCTTCCTCACCGACCCCTTTACCCTCACTTCCTCCCAGAGTCCTCGGCCAGGGAGAGTTCGGATCTGGGCCCCACGCCGCTCCCCACCCACCCGGCTTGAGAATGACTCTGGGGCCCGTCTGGGAGGCGAGCAGGGAGCACGAGAGGGGCTCATCCAGGCCCGGAGTCGCGGGAGTGGAGCCCGTAAGGAGGGGACACACCTTTTGACTGCTGTCGTGCAGGCCTCCTGTGTTATTGAGGAAGATGATTTTGGTGGGCTGTAGCGCCTTGGCTAGAGCCGCGGTCACCTCCAGCGAGTCCAGGAGCACAGAGCGGCGGGCGGTCGTCTCCCCGATGGGGCACAGGATGGGGATGCTGCCGGACTCCAGGCACCACTGCAGCAGGTCGGTCTCCACTGAGACGATCCCGCCGTAGCTGTGGGCCAGACGTGGTGCTCAAGAGGGCCGCCTCCAGGCCTGCCCGGCTCGGGCAGGGCGCGCGGCGGAGCGGGTCCAAGCACGCTGGGCCAGGCCGGGCCCGCACTAACCTGGCATGAGGGGCTGGCTCCGCGGCTCCCAGCACTGAGCCGCCGCCAAAAAAGGGCACGGCAGTGGCGGCGTTGTGCCGCAGCTCATCCACCAGCACCTTGCAGTTCTGGGCAAGCTGTGCCTTGGCCTCCCAGAAGGAAAGGCAGCCGGAGGGCGCGGTGGGCGCGGGCAGCCCGAGGACTACCAGCGGCTTCATGTCCATGCGCTGCAGGAATGCCAGGGCGAAGGCCAGGCTGGATACGGCCCGACTGCACTTGAGTACCTCCTCGTCCACCTGCGGGGGAGGGCGTGTTCAGGAGGGCCAACGCTGGCTCTGACTCCAGCAGCCTGGCCCCTGGGGCCCTGTCGGTGCCCCTACCGTGCCCAGGAGCAGTCAGGCCCCATTTCTGGCTAAGGGCGCCCACCTGCTCCGCCCTTTGCCCCGTTGGGTCTTGCCATCCCCTTATCTCACACTGGTGTTCCTCCCTCTGTGCCTCCCTGCGACCTTGGACTCTCTGACTTCTTGGGGGGAGGGGTGACCCAGGCGGCTCCTGTCCAGGTTCCCCACTTGCCATCTGAACCCCTAACTGCGCCCATGGTCGGGGTGGGTACTTCTCCAGCGCATCACACTTAGCGGATTAGGGTCCCCAGTCTCCTCGCCTGGGCTGGGCGTGAGACTATTTGAGCAGCGCGCAGCTTCACCCAGTCCCGGGCACTCGTCCGGGCACCGTCGCACCCCTTCCCGCTTCCGCGGTGCAGAGTCCGAAGCCGGTCCCGCCATGCCTGGCGACACGTCGCCGTACAACCCCCATTCATCCCCTCGCTGTGACATGGCCGGCGCCGGGCTCCGCTCACCTCGATGACGGCGAAGGGCTTGTCGGCGGAGTGGTAGCAGGTCTGGAACTGCGTGAGCCAGTGGCGCGCCTCCCCGGGGCTCGCTCCGCACTGGTTCAGAAAGGCCTGGATGTCCCGCTGCACCAGCGAGCGGCCGGCCGGGGGCCCCGGGGGGTCGGGAGGGACCGGGGGCGCGGGGGGCGGCGTCCACTCCGGCTCCTCCGCGGCAGGCGAGTGGGTGTCGTCCTCGGCGCCGTCGGTCCCTTCTCGTGCGGCCTGGGCCGGCGCCCAGGCGGTGCTGAGCCGGCGCCCCGGGCTGGCGCCCCTGGCCGCCCGCCGTCGCGCGCTGCCGCTCAGTCTCCGGGCGCCCCCAGTGCCTCGGGGACCGCGCAGCCTTCCTCCAGCGGAGGTAGCCCGTAGGGCCCAGGCCAACCGCGCCGTCGCCATGACAACCAGACCGGCTGCCCACCCCCCCCACGAGTGCGCTTCTGTCCGCAGCTCCCGGCTCTGGGGGGCTCTTAACCTGCTGCAAGGCGGGGCTGGGACAGCCGCGGCGGGGCGCGGACTGGGGGCGCAGAGTCGTCTCTGGGTGCATTTGAGGAGGGACAAGCCATGGGTCGGAGGGCGGGGCCACCAGTATCCCCCGCCCCGTGGGGGGACGGAACCCACTAGCGCGGGTCACGAGGCAGAGATAAGTGGTGGCGGGGTATCTTTCATCTGCTGCCAAGGCCGGTTCCAGGAAGGGCTCAGGGGACCCAGGGTGGCTTTGGCGGTCTGCGGGGTTCAGGATGGTTAAACGGGAGTGTGAGGAGGGCAAGAGGGGAGAGCAAGTGGCGGTTACCCTGGGACTGAGGGAGGAGACTGCAAGGAGAGGTGGGGAGGAGTGGAAGGAGGGTGGAGGTGTGCCAACTCTGCTGGAGGGCGGGGAATGCCTCTATCCTATGATCTGAGCTCCAAGAATATTGGAATCCCACGAGGTTACCAGGGTTGGCCAAGCTCCAGACCGTGGCTACCACTTTGAAGAATTTTGTCATAGTCTCAAATCACCCCTTATTATTTATTTTATTTTATTTTATTTTACTTTTTACTTTTATTACCTTGTTTGAAATTAGGCCATAAGCTATATGCCAGACTATAAGCACTGTGAGGCCAGCTTCGGTGTTCCTTTTCCTCCTTTTCCCAAACATATGCCCCCTTCCACTAAGACCAGCATTCAGATCCAATGGGAAAGGTAACCGGAGGATAAATCACCCCTTATTAGTATTAAGGTTCTTAAATTTAAAATTTATCCCTATTAAGATTATAACTAGAAAACCAGTATCACTTGCTATCAACAGAAGAAAGCCTTAAGAATAAAGCCAAAACAAAATGTTACTAAGTTCCAGCTGGCTAGTGTTGCCTGCTCTCTTGGTAGCACAGAAGGCTACCAAGTACGCAGTGTCAGAAGCACCCTGGCATCCTGGGAGGCTTTCTCCTGACCTGTGGAATGCCAGGCCCTGTGCAAAGCACTTCACATATAGTAACTCATTTCATCCTCACAATGATGCCAGGATGGGTATTATTATTCTGCCCATTTTATAGATGAGGAAATCGAGGCACAGAACTATGTGAGGGCCAAGGTCATTGGGCTCATTAACAGTGGGGCTGTTCTTTGAAGCAAAGCAGTTCTGCTTCTGATGCATGCTCTTAAACAAGATTTGAAAAGGACCTGAAAACTTTCCCAGGATGTGATTCACTGTGACTTGATACTACTGTATCCACCAGCTGCCAGAAAGTGCCCGGTACATGATACTGTATCCACCTGCTGCCAGAAAGCGCCCTGTACACTATCCATCGTACACATCCTGCGATCCTGCGCTCCCGTACATGGTGCTGGAGCCCCCCCCCCCCACTCTGTCACTGTAGAGGAGGAAAACAAGTGTGGAGGAGCAGTGACTTGGCCAAGATCACACAGCTGGTAGTGGCATGGCCAGATGCTAGGCATCCTAAGTTCTCACCACTGCTCTTTTCTTCCTTCTCTGCAGTTCTGTGCTCCCTGTGCTGGGAGTCAGGACTCTTGGGGTTCTGCCTGAACGGTGAGCAGTGGCCTGAGCTGCTTCTCTCCCGAGCATCCCAGAGGATGCTGGGTGAGCACACCAACCCCTTCCCAGCATCCCCTGCCAACACACTCAGGCATGCACCAACACGTGTGCACACACAGCACACGCATGCACTATCCCAGGCAGGAGACTCCTGGTAGGGGTTGGGGGAGCTGACCTTTGTGACCTCGTCCACTAACTTTTCCATTTTCCTACTTAGAAATTCTGGGTTCCAGTAGAGAGGGAAGCATGGAAGGTCTGTACCCCCTACTCTGTGGGGTCATCTCTAAGGCCTTCTTTCTCTTCCCAGTTTACTGTGGGCCCACCCCCTACTTCCCTACACTTCCCAGAATCCACCAGAGGAGGTGGTCCTAGCTCCTGGGGGATTAATCATTTTCCAAGCCCCTCAGCGCTCCCACCCTCCCTGGCCCCTCTCCACTCAGGATTCCTCCTTCTCCGTCTCTCTGCCCCAGCTCTGGCCTCTCTTCACTCCTTCTCTCCCAAATGTATGCCTCTTCCAGGCCCTTTCCCCCTCCTGCGAACTCAGGGCCTCTGTGAGGGCAAGGCTGTCTTCTCCCTTCAGCCTGGGGCTCCCTGAGGGCAGGGCTGTTTTCTCCCTCCTCAGACCAGGGGCCCACCCATTTCAGTAGCCAACAGCATCAGCCCCATTTCCCCTGGGCTGGTGGGGCAGACAGCAGCTGGGGAGCTGCTTCCCCCTGCTTTGGGCTTTAGCCCAGAGGGCCGTGTCCCCAGGTAGCCAATGGGCCCAGGGATACCCTGAGTAGATGATTAACTCCAGGCCCAGTGACCCTGGGGCCACTGTGTCTCCACTGCCTCTCCCTGGGGGAAGGCCAGCCTCTGGTTGGAGAACTGGCCCTGCTTTGTGGAGGAGATGAGTGTGCGTGTATGAGGTCAACACCCCTACCTGACCCCACCCCTCTGAATTGAAGGTCTGCAGGATCCCTGTGGGTCTGTGGTTCCAGCTTGAATTTTCTTTGTTCCCCTCTGAAGCGGGCCGTCGTTGTGTTTTTCAGAGCAAATCTTGTTGTCAGTGTGCCCAGAATCAGGATCCTGTCTTCTCACCAGGCCCTGGGTCATGGAGATGCTGGGATCAGACACAACCTTCCAACCCCTCCAGATACTTCCCCTCAGCACAGGCCGCAGCCTCGAGCACGGGAGCTGGTTTGAAGGGCCAAGGCTGTCCCTCCTACTAGAGCCTCCCTCGGCTGCCACTCAGGACAGGTGGGCGTGGAAGTGACAGGAAGCCGGGCAGGTGAGGGGCCAGGGGTGACAGCTGACGGTTCCAATCACAGCACCTGAGGGGAGATACACACACACACACACACACACACACACACACACACACTACATACAGAGTTACAAGCAGACACCGCTCCTGAGGTCATACTCATCTACCCACATAGAGGCACAGAGCCATACTCATTCACATGCTGTAATGGTGTCTGCCATGGGTGAAGTGGCCAGTAAACACTGAATGAATGAATGAATGAATGAATGAAGAGAAGACAGAAGGAAAGATGTAGGGCCCTGTGGAAAGGGAAGCCTGGCTCTGTGGACTATCATGGGATTGGCCCTAGGACTTCCCAGCAGCCCCAAGGTGGCCCTCTCCATCTGTGGGGAGGAAGATTCCAGTGGAAGAGTACACAGACCTCGGTCAACCACCGTTTTGTGAGCACATACTATGTGCCAGGTCGTGAACGGGGCGCTCTGAAGATGCAGTCCCATTTTCCCTGGCTGGAGGTCAGGAGGCCTGGCTCTGCCACTTCCTTGGCTGCAAAGGTTTGGGCAAGGCATTTAACTTCTCTGGGCTCCCGTTTTCTCACTTGTAATAAAGGGGGGAAAGAGAATAAAACTTAATCTCACTGCATAGTAGTGAAGATGAAAAGCTCTCCATGGGCATGCAGTCAGCCAATCCACACCGTGGGAAACTATAGGGCAAGCAACCTGGTTTCTTCAACAAATGAATTACAAGGAAAAGAGTAGGAGAGAGGAGGGCGGAATTAAATGAAAAGATGTATTTTTAAAAAAGATTTTATTTTAAGTAATCTCCACACAACCCTGAGATCAAGAGTCACATGCTCTACTGAAGCCAGCCAGGTGTGCCAAAAAGACAGACAGACAGATTTGAGAGAGAGAGAGAGAGAGAGTGAGTGCAAGCAGGGGGAGAGGCAGAGGGAGAGAGAGAATCTCAAGCAGACTCCACACTGAGTGTGGGGCCTGATGTGGAGCTTAATCCCACGACCCTGAGATCATGACCTGAGCCGAAATCAAAAGTTGGCGGCTTAACTGACTGAGCCACCCAGGTGCCCCCCAAAAAGATGTATTTTTATTTTATTTAAAAAATGATTTTATTTATTTATTTGAGAGACAAAGTGGGAGAGAGAAAAAGAGATCACAAGCAGGGGGGCAGGGTAAGAGGGAGAAGCAGAATCCCCATAGAGTGGGGCTCGATCCCAGGACCCTGGGATCATGACCTGAGCCGAAGGCAGACACTTCACTCACTGAGCCACTCAGGCACCCCTCAAAAGATGTATTTTTTTTAAGATTTTATTTATTTATTTGACAGAGAGAGACACGGTGAGAGAGGGAACACAAGCAGGGGGAGTAGGAGAGGGAGAAGCAGGCTTCCCGCGGAGCAGGGAGCCCGATGTGGGGCTCGATCCCAGGACCCTGGGACCACGACCCGAGCCAAAAGCAGACGCCCAACGACTGAGCCACCCAGGAGCCCCAAAAGATGTATTTTTAAAGTCTCTTTTAATCCTTATTTGAATTCTGAATCAAACAAGCCATAAAAAATGAGACAATTGGAAAAATTTGACCACAAAGGATATTTGATATATTAATTTTTAGGTGTGCTATGATTGTGTGTCATGTTTTTAAAACTACTCCTTATAGTGTGCATCCTGAATATTTATAGATGAAATGATAAGATGTCTTGCATTTAGTTCAAAATAACCCTGGAGGGGAGAAACTGGGGTTGGGGGGACAGATGCAATAAGACTCGCTCTGAGTCAGGAGCTGGTATTTGTTGAAGCTGGACAATGGGTACAGGGGATTCATTATACTATCTATCCATTGCTATGTATGATTGGACAAATGAGAAAATTCAATGAATTCCCGTAGGAGCAAGTTACCAGTCTGACAGGTAAAACACTCCATAAAAGCGAGCTTGCTTCTTCCATGAGTAGTTTTCCTTCGAGGCACAAATATGTGAAATAGTAAATACTCCACAAATACATAATTTATGGATTTAAGAATTTTGGTTCCAGGGGCACCTGGGTGGCTCAGTAGTTAAGCGTCTGCCTTTGGCTCAGGTCATGCATCGGGCTCCCTGCTCTGCAGGAAGCCTGTTTCTCCCTCTCCCACTCCCCCTGCTTGTGTTTTCTCTCCTGCTGTGTCTCTCTCTGTCAAATAAATAAAATCTTAAAAAAAACAAAACAAAAAAAGAATTTCCGTTCCAATTG